GGTTGTCCAGCCTTCGCTTAAAGGCGTCCAAAGACGGTGCCATAGCTACATCTGCCGGTAAGGAATTCCAGGGACGGCAAACCCGCAGTGAAAAGAAGTGGGAGCGCACCCGGGTCCTTGCCCTCTGGTGAGCTATCCTTCTGGGATTTCCACGAGGGAGCCTATACCTGTTTGGGTGATTCTGGTCATTTGTTATTTTGTAGGCAGTAATCAAATTCCCCCTAAGACGTCGATAACTAAGTGTGAACAGGCCTAATTTCTTCAGCCTTTCATCATATGGTTTGTTTCGGAGACCAACCACTCCTTTTGTTGCCCGTCGTTGGACTCTTTCCAAGAGGTTGGCATCTCTTCTCAGCATTGGGGGTGCAATAATATTATGCACCTCAAGGTGTGGCCTGACGTATGTTTTGTACAACATTAGAAAGAGCTCAGGAGTGAGTGCACCTAACTGTCTATGCGTAAAGTGTATGACCGCATATGCCCTCGCTACATCCCCTGTGTAATTTACGCTTGTGTCCATTTTTTCCGTTAGAACTAGACCTAAGTCGCGTTCCGACGTTGTGCAGGACAAGCTTTCATTGCACAGGGTGTAACTTGCATTCTGCAGTCTACAGGTGCGCAACTTCACTACTTTGCACTTTTTCAAGTTGAAAGTCATGCCACTGGCCACCGCCCAGTCTTCCAGAAGGTTTAGGTCTTCCTGTAGCCTATCTGAGTCCTCCGGACACTTTATCGCCCTCCATATTTTTACGTCGTCAGCGTACAGGAGAGTCGGGCAGCTCAGACGGCGTGGTAGATCATTGATGAAAATCAAAAACATCAGTGGTCCTAGGATAGAACCCTGCGACACTCCTGATGACGATCTGTGCCAAGATGATCGGACTCGGTTAACCTTAGTGCAAAATTGCCTGTCGGCTAGGTAGTCCTTCAACCATGACAGAAGTGGCTCACCTATGCCTGCCTGGCTTATTTTATGTAGGAGAAGGTCATGGTGAACAGTGTCAAATGCCTTCTCAAAGTCTAGGAAGACCACATGGACTGGTACGTTCAAGTCCCAGCATGATGTCCAGTCGTCCCAAGCTGACAGTAGGTTAGTGACGCAGGATCTGCCTTTTCTGAAACCATGTTGGGCTTCATGTAGTATATTAGTCCTATCGAAATATTCCCTGATGTGGTCGTCAATAATACTTTCCAGTACTTTTGATACCACTGGGAGTAGAGCTACTGGTCTATAGCTAGCAGCGTTTTGCCTGTCCCCACCCTTGAAGATTGGAGAAAGGATGGCTCTTTTCCACTCCCTTGGCAGGGTCCCCGAATCCATTGAGTGTTGGAACAAGTCGCACAGGGGTCTACAGAGAGCCTCGGCGCACTGTTTCAGAACAGATGGCCTGATGTCATCACAACCTGGGGACTTCCCAGGTATGAGTCGCTGTAGCTTCCTTAGTACTATTGCGGGGTTTATTTGGGGAGTAGTCGCTAGGTCTTCCTCCTCTGAAATAGTGGTGCCACCATTTTGGTCCGTAACTGTAATATCCACATTGCTGTTTAGCTGTTTAGCGAAGGCTGAACTGAATGTTTCAGCCATCTCCAGACTAGTGAGATATTGACCGTTTGGGCCTACTAAGGCGCATGCCCCTTGGTTTGTCGGTTTTCTTTCCGACATGAATCGGTACAAGTTTTTAGGGTTTGATAGGAGTTTTTTAGCAAGGTTAGCCTGGAATGACCTTCTGTCCCTCCTAACTCTTGCATTACACCGGTTCCTGAGTTCGAGGTATGCATCATGGTCGGTCTGACTCTTAGATACACGCCACGTAAACCAAGCCTTCCGCTTTGCTTGCAGAATACGTTGCGTGCCTCTCTTCAACCATGACGTCTTTCTCTTAGGCTGTGTTGTGACTAAAGGGACGGTATCCGAGATTGCTGTATGGATAATCTTTTTTACCACTTCCCAGTGTTCATCCACAGATAGGTCGTCCCATGCTAAGGGCCAGTCTGCGTCGGACAAGAGCCTCCGCATTTCAGCATAGTCAGCCTTGCTGTAGCACAGACATGGTCGCGTAACATCCCATTGCAAACGCTCACGGAGGACAAGATCGAAACCTATGACTGCATGGTCACTGCTTCCCAGAGGAGTCATGATCTGGACCTTTTCGACGAGTAGCTGGTCACTAGTTAGAATATAATCTAGTTTTGATGACTTTCCACTAGGGCCCCACCTAGTGTCGTCTCCAACATTCTCAGTCAGTCCCGTGTTTCGAATAGTTTGCAGTAGGTTTCGGCCAAATTTTCCCTTAGCACACCCGGAGCCGAGGTTCAGTGATGGAGCATTGAAATCTCCAGCTATGGTGATTTGGTCGTAGCCCAAATCTCGTATTCCTGTGATAGTGCTGAGCAGTAGCTGATTGTGCTCTGCCCCACAGGTGGGAGATCGGTAGATGCCACCCAGTAAGTGCTTGGTGTGGCCTACGGTGAAATGACACCATATGGAGTCTGGGAGTTCGATAAGTGGTGGGTCCGTTGCGCGCACACATTTAAGTTGCCTATCAAAGTATATAGCAACTCCCCCTCCTTCCTTATTATCCCTGTCTCTTCTGACCAGTACCATATCACCTATACTGATTTCATTGTCGGCGATAGTGGGGTTTAGCCACGTTTCAGTAAGAATGATTATTTTCAGTTGAAGGTGTGCTTGGAGATTTCGGAGTTCACCTACTTTTCCTCTCAGCCCCCTCACATTGCTATATAGGCAACTGACAGTGAGTCTAACAACCTCAGAGTGTTGTGGGGTAGTTGACGTGAAACCGTCTGCTGGTGGGGGACTTGATGTTGGAACTAGTTGGCCGATTCCGATAGAACCGGCCCGTTTTTGAAGTTTTTTTCAATGGATTTAGGCAGGACACTTGGGAGACACAGACTATTATTCTCAGAGCTGCATCGCTCTAGTGTCACCGAAGCTTGGGGTCGTATTAAAGCCTCAGTTTGCTGCCTCCTTATATTTCTGGGTCTGCTTTCACAGCATCGGATGTGTCCTCCAATTTTTCCCTTGGTCTCATACCACCGTTGAAGTGATATGGACAACTGCTCCGGGGAGTTGAATGTGACACACAGCAGCTTTGGAGAGTTAATCAATGTTAGATGAGCGGGACGAGGTAGTCGGAAAATGGAGATGGCTCCAGAAGCGCCAGGGGCCATCTGAGATGACAGCCATCTCCATTGTTGTACGTCGTGCATGTGTTTTTCACAAGCAGTGCCGGTTTCCAGCTCCGGAACACCGTGTACCACCATAGAGGTGGAAGGCATCAGTTCCGGTGACTCCCTCGCCATATTTCTGAAGCCCATGGTCTATCTTGCCGCGCTCTTATGTTAGAACTTCTGTCCAGGGCTAGTACCTGAGCCATTAACAGTACTTTTTCGGCCTCTTCGGCAGAGTCCAGTGTAACCCGTAATGGGGGTGGCTTACCCTGAGGCGTGTGGACACCCCTGTACAGTCTGCACAGTTTTGCTGAACTAATGTTCAGACCTAGTTTGCTGCACAGGTTGGACCACTGTTCCTGATCAAACAGGGCCCGTTGTTCGAGCAAGCTATCCGTGCTCACAGGTACGTTAAAGAGGATGAGAGAGTTAGACCGACTACCCTCAGACTTAGGTTTTGCCTTCGGCTTCTTGCAGTCCTTTGCATCATTAGCAACATTAGGCTTCATCGGTACCTGGACAGCCTTTTTTGTGTTGCCAGGCTTGCTAGTGGATGCAAGTGGTGCCTTTGTAATTTTGCCTTCCCCTGATGTGGATGGAACCTTGCTAATCTTCACCTTGTGAGAATTGGCATTTCCAGTCAGTAGGGCTGGTGTGTCCTTCTTTAAGTCTTTGACCAGTTTCGGCAGTGCGAGTTTAGCAGGGGGGGCTGCATGATACTGTGTTGGGGCACAAGAGCGTGTTATTTCTGCTATCCGCAGACACGCTTTGTGGGACTATGCCAGGGCGACAAAGTGGACACACGTACCAAAACCATGGGCATGGGTTATTTCTCATAAACTCATAGTATGCTTTCGGTACTTCTTTGTCACAACGGCAGTGCACCCATCGTTTGCAAAAATTACATTCAAACGCTGAATCAGTTTTAGAAACTGTGATGCTGCACGCCTGGCATTCATCCCCTTTCCTTGATGACGCCTTCGAGGTCTTATGACGTCTTGAACGTTTCCTTTTAGGCTTGATGTGTTTCACACACTGGCCTACAGTTGATGCAGGTGTAGAATTCTGTCCTTCTGGTATTGCCTGTGCCGTTTCAGTACTAGACTGTGGCAATGCAGGCGTTGTATCAGGGCAGACTAAAGCTACACGAGTCTTTAGGATCGGTATGCGGGAAGGGGTTGAAATCCCTGGATTTTTTCCTTCCCTGGCTGAAGCCCTTGTGACTACAGAGTACGGTGTTTTAGTGGCTTTTTTAAGGCTGCTTTCGACAACCATATTAACAATCACTATAAATTATGCTATGTACGTCTAAGAGAGCAACAGTTTCTATCCAAAAGAGCAAGAATAAGACTGAAAAAGTATAAGGCAAGGAAAAGAAAAGGTTTTCGACTTTACCTAGTACTTTCTGAATGATCGGCTTTACGGCATTCACGTGGTAGACCAACAAGTCATGTTTCTCTGAACGGGTGAGGAATATGCTGCTACAAAAGTAGCACCTGAAGCACACAGAGATTTACTGTGTATACTATTTATAGTATATATACAAATAAACTGAAAAATAATGTTCTCATTACCTTATGAACAATTTAAGGACAATTGTCCTTATTCCAGGATAATAACTTCCTTTCACCTATGAGCCTGAGTTATGTCTATGGAATCGCAATATTACATCAGTTATATCTTCCCCCAAAATCAAGGCCACTTGCAACCAATAGCAACATAGCAACAAGCGTCATTGAGGGGATATGCAATAAAGTCGCTCGGAAAATATATGTACTGTTGGGTACAATATTTCACTGTGGGCAGTTAGGCTCTGAAACTTAACCTTGAGAAAACAGCTGGTATTTCCCGCCTGTTCTAAATTCTCAAGGATGACCAGAGTGAAGGGCGACCTTTAGGATTCTAACTTTTTCTAAGGAAGATGAGCAAACGTTGTGATATAGTTCATTTGAACGTTGGAGGTCGAAAGTATGTTTTAACTTTCAGCGTAATTAAAATTTGGTAGATTTTCGACATCGCGTAATACACTATTATGGAATAAGAACTCATTTTTCAGCATGTAAGTATTCAATTGCTTTATATTTCTCCCTTTTAGACTTTTAAATGGTGCTCTACCTACCATGAGGGATGAATCTGGAGCCGTAAATATATTTTAGGCTACTCTAATTGTCTTAGATCTTCATAGACAGAGACCCAGATATGTTTAGTGTGATTCTCAACTACTTACGGACCAATGAATTAAATCTGAACGGTGTAGATATAAATTCACTCAAGAACGAGGCTCAATTTTATGCACTTGATTCTCTGGGTAAGACGTATTTTTCCAAAGATATTCGCTTATCTAGTAAGAAAACTCTCCCTATGCGAGGAGAATCTGCTTGGACGATGTGGAGATTTACTGTTTCACGCTTATATGCCGGCACCTGGTGCGTTCTCCTTTTACTTTGACTTAATTTTGGCATTTTGCCGAATTAGCTTGTTGCATTCTATGGCTTTAATATTGTTAGCTTATCCTCTGTTTTGTGTTTATCTCTAAACAGAATCAGATAATCTGAGCTTTCGACCGTAGTTTAGTTTAAAACAAGGTATCGGATAGCGTATTTCAACGTCATCCTGATACGCGTTGACTGTCAACTCAAAATAATTTCTGAGAATGTGACAACAGCTGGTGAAACATGACACTAAGCTCTTTCTGGAAAGCATACTTCGCTGGATAAATCTTCCTAAATTGGATTGTTAATGAATTAAAGGTTTTTTTGTTGTTCTTAGACTATTTGTGCCGTACATGGTGTTCAGAAATCGTTTCGAAGTTGTGACTATGGGGTTAAATTATTCGTTCGTTTATCATCACGTTAGTACGTACTGAGTCTTTTTTATCCTTCCTTGTCACAATTAACTGGATCCTCCTCTATGTTCATGGGTTTTAAGGCTTTCCAGAGCTGTCATACTCCTAAGTTAGTTTACACTTGTCATTATGAGTAAAGTGCAACTGTTTGACATTGCAAGTAACCATCTTCAAACTGAAATATGAAGTGATTATTTCACATTTAATAGTCTGGACCAACATTCTAAGCGGATAGTCTAAATATGTAACATTTAAATGTTTAATAGCTAGTTTTACATTCACCTTGCAGGCTATTATTGTAAGTTTACATCCGTTTTTTAACTACTCTGTTGTTTTCATTACAGATTTTGTCCTGGATGATTCTGGAACATGTTTCAGGTAAACTCCGCTTTTCCGTAGTAATTTTAAAATAACCTTATAAACTATTAAAAACCATTTTTAGAATGTATTTTACTGTTTGCATTACAATATTTCGATTTACTAGAATTAGAACTTCACACATCATATGTAGAGGTTATATGAAAACAATACCTTGTATCGTATGTATAATTTTAGTCGATAATAAAATGAAAGTTTGTTGGTTACCTTTGATTTTCCGTATGCCGTTGTGTTTTTCCTTTGCTTCCGAGCTGTCTGAATTATGCATGTTAGTATGTGCAAATAGCTTTTAGGCAACAGACTTATTAACTTCCAAGCAAGCATCAGTGTAATTCCAAGTTGTAAATTCCCCGAAATTCTATGCCAGATTGAATTCGAAAGTGCTAAAGTAGGAAGTCGAATGTAGCTAACTATCAAATAAGCAGAATTCACTTTTTATTAAAAGTTAAGTTTAGCTTAAGAAACAATGTTAAGATTAAGTCTCATAAAGAAGCGTCAACAATCAAAAAAGTAAACTCAGTTGTATGTGAACTACATTCTTCCTACTGATAGTCACGTTGCACCATGTATTTTACTGATGAATATAACATTTTAGAAACTTCTTATAGCTTTTGTAAGCACCTTCAGGTTAAGTTAATAAGTTTTCTTTGTTTTCTTACGACTTACATAAGGGTTCCTTACTTACCTTTTATGGTTATTTGAGTGAAACTGCTAAATCTGATGAGCAAATTAAACAAATATCATAAAAATTGCTTTACCCATTAAAAACTATGTAAGATTGTCAGCTAGGTTTGGTTGAGTTGTATGGTGCTACGTGTACTACACATACTTTTTAATTATTCTATAGTCTGACTTTTTGTTATCATTATTACATAAGTCAGTAATCATCGTTTATTTTTTTTATTATTTTGTTATCATCATCTGCTAGATGGAACACCAACAATCAATGCAATCCACCTAATGGTCTTTGTCTGCCACCATATACATCACCTAGCTCATCTATGAGAGGTGAAACAGATACAATGGGGAGAGGTCCTGGAATCCCTCAACACAGAAATTTATCGATTGAAACGCCAACACCTGACTCCATTCGCAGTAATCCTGGTTGTAGTACAAGTAATACTAAAGTGTAAGCAAATGAATATTTTTAAAGTATGTTCTGTTTTTTATTTAGTAGGTGTTATTGTCAAACCTATTTATAAACACTTTTCATCTAACATTTGTGGAATCAGAATGAAGTGAATAGTGGACCACAGTAATAGATATCAAAAACAGCGTAGAACTAATAACTTCAACATGTAGACAAGTCACTTTAGTATTTAGTGTGTTAATACATCAGTTAAAGTTACTGTGTTTTAGAAACTGTAAGGCGATGTTTGTGCTGTTTATGTTTTAGACTAAACCATCCTTACTTTACGCAATGTATCTAGCCACCCGCTTCACCAATACACCACCTAATCTTCAACCACGGATAAGAAAACACGAATAAAAAAAGACTCACTTAGAAATATGCCCTTATGAGCAATATACCTAAAGAGAACAGAATGTCCAGTGGAAATATTTTATGGCTTATTTGACTAGTATGACTGAACTACATACTCTAAGAGTGTGCGTGTGTTATCAGCACACAAAGCACAGAATGGCGTTCCATCCTGGTCAGATTTGTACTTGTTAAAACAAAACTCTAAAACATCAGCGAATGGGCCAGACGTTTATTCACTTCATAGTATTAGATTGATTCATTTGAGCCGTAGGCTTATTTTGGTGCAGTAAAAGGTGTACTAGAAAACTACACAAGGAGATGTTGGAGAAAACTTAAAAAAGAAGGTGAAAGTGGGCTGAAAAAGGAAATATGTCACTATGAGAAATAAAAAAGTAGTACGTTGATGTTCCTTTTTTAATGCATTTATACTGGAAGGATTTATCCTCCGTAATACTGTTTGTTGTGTTCATTCCAGAGAAGAAGCGTTTCAAAATTTAGATCGGTCTGATATATACACCTGATTTAGGACTAGTTGTAAACGATCAATCATCTTAAAAACCATCTTTACTTGGAGAAACCATCTGAGTTATATGCAAAGAAATGGAAAAAAAGCATTACAAATTAACCTAACAGTTGTAGTCTCATCTAACTTTCATTGGAATCGATCTGTCTAAATTAAATCTCTTTTTAATTGTGTAAATGAAAGTGATTTTTCAAAGAATTAAACAGGAAATATTATTTAACGAGGTAATATATTATATTCTATTCTCTTAGCTTGACAAGTAAAGTTAGATCATAGTTGAAGTGTTAAATGCAAATGTTTGTGTGTATTCAGATTCTTCAACTTTTTAATAAAGTAAATTAAAAATCCCCATAGTGTAATTAGAACAAGATGATTTTAAGCCAACACTTGTTTTTGATAAATTCTCTCTCAGACTGTACAATTATAAACCCGTGAATATTATAATACGAATAGCCATTAAAGGCATGTGAAAATTATACTGGAAACTGTATTGGGGTACATGTAAAATATGGAGTGATCGTTCGTATTGTCAAATTATTATATATATATATATATATATATATATATATATATATATATACATAAAGTTCTAAGGAAAATGTACAACTTTTCATCAGTGAAATAGACATGATAAAGAGTGTAATTGGTATGATTGTAAACATTTCGAGGCAGTTTGCTTACAAAGGAATGACAACACAGTTTTTACTTTTACTCTGATTATTTAACTGCAAGTGACTTAAACGGATTGACTCCAGGTAAAGAATCAGTAGAGAAGGGTTAGACATACACTGAAAAGACATTCAGGTGACATTACACACCAGGTTGTCGAATGAAATTCGAATAGGAAGTGGCGGGTTGTGTGCGCTAGGGATGGTTTAGAAAAAGAAAGCCATGTGAAAAGGAAATTAAAGCTTTTAGGTAACTGTAAAGTCAGTTACAGAACCGACTACATTATGGTCGTGCCACTGAATCCTTATGTTCTACTTGGAGTGCAAGGAATCAAAAATAACAATAATATAAGAGAACCAGTGGAGATCATGTCCAGAAAGTTGAAAAAATGTCAGCTCTTTGGCTGTCTGTTTCTTCAATTCTCGTAGAGAAATTTATGACTTAAGTATCCCAAAACTCACAAATGCAGAATCACTTACGCATAGTTCTTGACAAGGTAGGAATAAAAGTGGCTGGCATTCAAACCCACAAACTCAATTAGAAACAAGCTCTGTCGGTTAAATTATCAATCCTATGGAGCCTTTAAAACAAAAGAATTTAGTTCATCTAATACTCTACCTGCAATGATTGTCAGGTCAAATACATAGGTCAAACTAGTAGAACAGGAGCAGTCAGACTAGCCGAACATAAAAACAGCCACAAAATCTAGATTAGTTGACCCAAGTAAGATAAGAAATCTGAAGAATAGTTCAGCTATTGCACTACATGCAGTTACACACAACTAAACAATAGCATGGGATAGGATGACAGTTTTAAAATCTAATGTCACAGGGTGGAGGGAGAGACTGATGACAGAAGCTTTGTTTATCGAATCAACTGCAAACACGTGTAATAGGAATGGTTCAACACCTGCCCAGATGGATATCTGGAAAATTCTACTACTCCTACGACTAATAGGAGAAAACAAAGAAAACTATAAAACTCAAGTTTCAAAGTCGTGTGATTACAATTGATATGGTTATGAACCACGATAAATTTTGTTCGAAACGTCATCCAGTAAATAATGCTGTTTCACTGTGTGATACATCTAATAAACAAGCCAATATGGAACTACTCACAGATGCTACAGTTGTGTCTAGTTGTAGTGTATAAATTTCATAGAGTAGTGTTTTATTTCTAAAACTTCATTACAGTGACTCGATTCTTATATTGTAACATTATTTGTTCCTATTCAACTGTTTAGAGGCCTTACATTCAGGCTAACGAAACATGATGAACAAGTCATTGCAGTTTTGATCCTATTGTACTAATGATTAAGTTCGGTCACATAGATTCAGCTACTTTGCTTTCAACCAAGCGTCGTAGTTAGTTGTCTCATTTGCACTCCGCTGTCATGAAATTGTCTCTAAGTGTTCGGATTTCATAATGATGACTCTATGAAGTCAAAAAGCCGCGTAAAACATATTGTTTTGTTGATATATTTAAATTTGTACTTTATATGTATCTGTAAGCCTTAATTTATGTTTTCATTTCAATTAACAACAATAACAACAACAAAATGATCTGTCCACCAAAGCCCTCTGAAAGGTGATCATCACCGTCCACCAAATGATTCTGCAAGTGAAGTTCTTGATGAAAGTGCTACTACTACTACTACCAATGGCCCATCGAACTTAAAATATCAATCAAATCATCCTGAATTGTATCAAAAACCTGTCACGTTAATCGCTTGTCATCAAAATATTATGGCAGCTGTTTACTCTGACTGTGTGGGAGTTTTCTCGTAAGCAACTAAGTATATTTTTATTTAAAAATTATCATTGATACCAATGCTTTTAAGTGTAAATGTGATAAATTTTTTTTATATTAAGTCTCTTTTAATTTCCATTGTGTTTGAGAAATATACGGCTCAAACAAAAATATGTTTTATGTTAGAGATGTAACTGGTTCTCGAGTGAGACTTCTACTGACTTGAATTTGCTTTGCTATATGCGGCTGGAATTAGCGTGGCATTTAAACCAAGCAACCAATTGTCTTAGAGATAAACTTTGTCGGCTAAAGGACCTAATAGATCCAATTAAGAAAAAAATAAACAAGAAAAAATGACACAAACTGAGTCCTGAGTCACAAACTAGTTGCATTCCTACTTCTTAAAAAGAATGCAGTACACTGTATACAAAGGCAAATCCTCCTCTGCTGTGCTCACTGAAGCTGGTGTCCCCCCCCCCAAGGTGCTGTACTCTCCCCATTTCTCTTTTCTTTCTTTTTACATGACCTACCATCTTCAAATGACATTAATTTTGTCAAATATGCTGACGACCTGACTGTATCTTTACCTGTCAAATGTCAAAGCGACTGCTCCAAACTAAATGGCTTTTTATCAGAAATCAGCCAGTAGTCCAAGGAAAACGGTCTAACCTTAAATCCCTCTAAATGCCAAACAGTTAATTTCACCTTTAGGCACAAATCTGACCTAAACAAACTGGTTAGCACCCACACGAGGTGTGCAACATTGATGGCACTGAAATTGAAAACAAGTCGGAAATTAAATACCTAGGCGTCACTCTATCTTCTGATCTTTCCTGGTCGTCTCATGTCTTGATGATTTCTAAGAAAATATTCCGTCTTACCTTCTATATCAAGAAGTTAAGATATTCTGGTATAACCCAACCCTTACTCCTACAATTCGTGAACTCTCGCATTCTGCCTATTATTCTCTATTGTTCCCACTTAGTTTTTCCTGTCTGTCTTGTTTCGACATAGAACTTTACACATATGTGCCCCAGTTCAAGTCGCCACACTCCATGTAGTACACAAAGCAACAGAAGAAAGTAGAAGAAATGCATTGTAGAGACAGTAAACAGAGGTGTGAGACAAAGGAATAGTAGTAACGAAGAAATTTCATTGGAAATCATAAGTCCCAAGGAGTGGATGCATCTGCGTTAGCCATTGAGAACGATTTTGAGCCATGTCACCAATTGTTTCCAACCATTTTCCTGGGCTACTGAAGAAAGACTATACCTTATTACACAGGATGTTAAAGTTTGTCACCAGGGTGGTAAACAACGTGCCACTTAACCAGCTTGTTAATATTCTGGTTGACAGGCACATGGACTCATGTGAAAAATGGGCAAAATCCATTCTGTCTAACTCACATCACCCTCTTCATTCACAACTCTCCCCTTGTATCTCACCAGGCAGAACCAGAAGCCTATATAGAAAACTATATGCTCGCACTAGCAGCAAGTACAAAAACTCAACCATACCCTCCCTACTTAGCTCGTGTTCTGTGTGATAAAGAAAGCATTAGGCGTGAAACTTGTAACTTATTAAATAGTCAGCAGAACCATTGGATCTCGTCTTTCCAACTCTTATCATTTATAGGTACAACGTTTTCTTTCTCTCTTTTCCCTTTCTCTCTCTTTTTTCTGTTATGTTCTGCTTTGTTTCTCTCTTCCGCTTACACCAGTAAATATGCTAGTAGTATTTACTTTTCTAACACCTTCAAACACTGTTCAATTTTGGCTTTGCTACCGATATGCCAATATGTTGTTGTCAAAACTAACTGAGATTAACCTTAATCTATGTAGAACTTTAGTTATAGTTCATGTACTAACTGGATGCAATACTTTAGCGAAATGCTGAGAATTCCATTCTGTATCACAAGTACTGTTTTGGAATAAAGCAAATTATTATTATTTATTATTATTATTAAATCTACCAAATACCGCGTAGCGACTGTTAGATCAACTACATAGGTCAAACCAGTAGGTCGGTATCAACTAGATTGTTGGAACATAAAGATTTAGCTATAGCTAGAATGATTGTCCCTGTCAAGCAACCTATTGAAAAGTTCAGCCATTGCATTTCATTCACTTGCATGTAATCACACAATAGGATGGGTGGGACAGGGTGAGAATATTAAAAAGTAATGTAGTTGGGTGGAGAGAGAGAGAGATTAATCACTGAAGCTTTGTTCATTGATTCAATACTACCCACTTGGAAGCGGAATGACACAACGCCTATGCTATCGGAGATATGGAAAGTGGCAACAAGCAACAAGGGGAAGTCGGAGAGAGAGAGGAAATACATAAATGAGACAAATTTTGAAGCTGTGGGTCTAAATTTACATGATTATGAGCAATAATTTGTGCTGGAGACGTCATCCGGTTGTTAATGCTACATCACTGTGTGTGATGTTTGAAATAAATTTGAAATAAATCAGTTTTGTTAATACCCTAATTTCATTAACCCCTAATTTTTTTGACTTTTATTACCAGTCTTCACCTGTTTAGTTAAAATAACCATAACCAATTGTAATTTTGTTTGACAAACTTAATGTATATACACACACACAAAATAATATATATATATATATTTGCGATTGTACAGCTAAGAAAATGAATTCGCCGAAAAGAGTCTGCTGATCTACGTGTTTCGTTTTCATTAAATAAATTTATCTAATGTGTTTTTGAAGTATTGGTTTTGTAGAGATTTTTGTTTGATTGCACGGAGGATTTCATCATGAGCTGACATCAGTTAGAGAACCACTGGAAAACCACCAGGGAGTACTGGACAGCTGTTTCGTCCTAGTTTGGGACTCTTCAGCAGTACGTACGCTCGATGGTCTACGAGCTCGCCTTGTAACCAGAAGGTCCTGCGTTCGAACCCCGGTGGATGCGTACTGCTGAAAAGCCTCAAACTAGTCTGACGAAACAGCTGTCCAGCACTCCCAGGTTTTCTAACGGTTCTCTAATTGATGTCAGCTCATGATGAAATCCTCCATGTTATCTCTTGTGTAATTAATTCCTACCACAGTGTTTAAGTTCTACACTTACATCACTGTATATATATATATATATATATATATATACTAGGAATCCGCTAGGAGTTCAGTTATATCACTTTACTGAAATGCTTACAGGGCTTCAAGCTTTGAAGTTACAGTTTCAGTGGTGTTGTTTTAACGGAATGGGGTTGCCAGCTTCGCATCCACCCTGCCGTCTTTTCCGAGTTTTCTACCGGCTAGTAAACTAGGTGAGGTTTAGGAAAGTGCGTCGACTGCGAATCGAACCCCAGCAACATTATTGTCACTCCAGCCTTATCAATGCCGAACTATTCTTCTGTCGAAGTGATGCTGGTATTCATTGATTGGCATCCACCTCCTGTTTAGCAGTGCAATATGCTCAGTATTAATTAGGCTAGACGTAGAATTTTAGATTGGGAGGGAAAGTCACTCGTTCTGCGCTGAATGATAATTCAGCTCAATTTACTTCTTGTACACAACAACTATCATAGTTGACGTTCGGCATGCTACATTGTTAAAGGTGTTTATTGTGGATTTGATACTACATCAAGGTTAGTGGAACTCATTTTACTTACGCCCTCACGGAACTTTATCTTATGTGGACATAGAAACAAAGTATGACTGATTGTAGTGTGAATGGAGTTATCGACTACTTTTGCAGACAGAATGAAATATATATATATATATATATATATATATATATATATATATATATATTGGACATTAGTAATTAGTGTGACGTGTCTAGTCCTTTCTTTGGTGCAGACTGAATTCCATCAGTCAGGTTTACAATGTGGCCACCATTCTACGTAGCTCGCCATCACGGTGCAAACCTGACTGATGGAATTCAGTCTGCGCCAAAGAAAGGACTAGACGCGTCACACTAGTTACTAGTGTCCAATCAAACTACCCACTACAGTCCTACAGGAGGTCAATCGCGAGCCCGGATAGCTCAGTGGTAACGTCTCTGACTGCAGCACTGGTTGACGTGGGTTAGAATCTCAGAAGGGACATAAGTTCCTTCAAAGAGGTTGCAGATACGCCTTGCTGAGTGGTGATCGCCAACTAGCACGAAACCTAGGTCCAAGGCTTCTTGCCGATTGCCTCCAACTATCTATATATATATATATATATATATATGATAGGTTACGACTGAAAGAAGATGGTATTCGAGATAGTGGTCTCCAGTTTACTAGTCCGGTGTCCTACCAACTGAGTCATGAAACTTAATCACTTACCAGATCATCACTTCACAGTCTGCCAAATCAAGGCTTAGACAGTCTTGAATGTATTATATATATATATATATATATATATACATCGGATGTGTGCGCCTTTGGTTCATTGTTAGAATGCTCACCAACCACACAAGTGGTTAGGGGTCCGATTCCTGGCTGACTCACTTCTAAGTCTTGCTTAGCTGGTAGTGAAGAGAGGGAGGTTGAGAGGGGGGCTAGCAGCCCCACCGCATAAAAGACATCACCGCTACTGTAACTTCAAAGCTCAGGCCTGAAACCCTCCGTTCCTGTCAGAGAGTAAAAGAATATGAAGAACTATTTTCAGTGTAGTGGTGATGGCAGACGAAAAACGACGTTGATTGATCCTTTAAAAATACTGCAGAAAAAATAAGTACTGTAATAGAAATAAGTGTATTTTAGGAAGAGCTACAATCTCGTTACTTTTTATGTGGTAGTGTTTTTGTTGATTTGAAATATGCTAATGATTTTTATCACATCTACCTACCTACCTGTTGTTCTCTGCATACAGTAATAGTGAACTGTTAGATCGATATATCCTGTGGCGTGTGTATTTGTGTGTTAATCTTTATTCATCATTTCAATATTCAAAAGTCTGCTTGTTTTTCTCACTTATTCACCAAGTATTAGTTTTATTTTATTGTTGAATGTCTATATACGATGAATAAGAGTGGGTAAACTTTTCGAGAAAAGTATCTTGACTTTTCAAGACATTACAAAGGAAATTATGTATTCATCAAATATGAAAAGGTCCTGTAACAACGTTGACGTATAAAGTAATTTGAAAACTGTTTCAATACTACAGACAGTCCCAACCTTCATGAACCTCATTCAACAGCTAGATGGTGATGTCATAAGTCAAATGATTCACAATGGGAAACTCAGCGAAGCATTTGACGTGATGAAGATAAGAAGGTAAAACAAGGCTAATTATTATCACCAATGATGTTTCGGTTGGCGGCGGACTGATTCATGCGGCAGACCGTGGAGAGCGAGAAGTCAGGAATTCGTTTGACCGGAAAGAAAACTGTCGAAGGTTTAGACTTCGCAGATGGTTTATGTCCAGTGTCACTTAAACTTAGAAAATCTACAGGTGAAAACTAACAAGATGGCAGAAGAGTCAGGCAGTGAAGACAGAACTCCAAGTGAACACAGAGAGGGCAGACGTAGTGAAGAAGGTACCTAATCGACAACATCAATAACCAACCATTATCTACGAAAGCTGTTGGAAGAAGTTGTCTCTTTCACTAGCCTAGGCAGCATCGTTTCAAATACAGGTGACATGGGGTTGAGTTTGTCGCAGACAGGATGGTAAAAGCAAAAACCTACCTTTGTTGATCTGAAATCATTATGGAGACCTACTGCACTCTGCATTAAGTAGTATATGATTCGGATTTTCAACACAACTGTCATATCAGTTCTTCTATATAGTTCAGAGACTTAGCACACGCGTCATCGGAAGCATTTCCAACAGCCCGGTGAAGACTTCCTCAACAACTGCCTTCGCTCCATGCTAAAGATCAGATAGCCGGAAAGGATATTCAACAAGTTATGACATATTCAGCACTCTTGATCTGAAGAATGCTTATCATCAAATTGCCCTAAAGAACGAAGATAAACCATATACTGCTTTCGAGGCTTGTGGGAAACTTTACCAATTTTGCCGAATTCCTTTTGGTGTTACCAATGGCGTAGCTTGTTTTCAACGCATTATCGATGAATTGATCAGTAAAGAACAACTCACAAGCACGTTTGCCTACATTGACAATGTCACTATCTGCGGCAAAACTCAGGAGGAACACGACAAAAATCTAAACAAGTTTATGGTAGCAGCACGCAATTATGGAATAACCCTTAATGATTCCAAAAGTGTGATCTCAAGCAGAAGCATACAATTACTCGGTTATGAAGTTTCAAAGGGGTTATTAAACCAGATCCCGATCGGCTAAAACCTCTTCGTGATCTAGAACCACCCACAGATATCAAATCTCAACAACGGGCCGTTGGATTATTTGCTTATTATTCACAGTGGATCCCTCGCTTCTCAGATAAAATCCACCCATTGGTAAATAATCGGATTTTCCCTCTTGATATCGAAACTCGAAATGCTTTTGACAAACTGAAAGACGACTTAGAACGTGCAGTCGTTGTGGTAGTTGATCCGAAAGCACCCCTTGTTGTTGAAACAGATGCTTCAGATGTCTCAATTGCAGCTACATTAAACCAGAATGGTAAACCTGTCGCCTTCTTTTCTCGAAGCCTCTCTCGAAGTGAGAAACATCATTCATCGGTTGAGAAAGAAGCCTATGCCGTGGTTGAAGCAATTCGTAAGTGGAAGCATTACCTTCTCGGAAATCACTTCAAACTTGTCACTGATCAACGTTCAGTAGCATTCATGTTTGACAAGATTCATAAAGGCAAAATCAAGAACGATAAAATAATGCGTTGGAGAATTGAGCTATCCCCTTATCAATATGACATCATTTATCGTCCTGGAAGGGATAATCAAGCTGCTGATACATTTTCCCGTAGTTTCTGCGGTTCCTTGCAGTCAGTGTGCGACTTGAAATTTCTCCATGACTCTATGTGCCATCCTGGAGTTGTCCGAATGATGCATTTTGTACGCTCGAGAAACCTTCCATTCTCCCTTGACGAGGTGCGCAATGTAACCAGTAAATGCGTGACATGCTGTGAGTTAAAGCCTCAATTTTACAATCCCTCTAATTTCAAACTCATAAAAGCAACCCAACCTTTTGAAAGGTTAAGCATCGACTTTAAAGGACCTCTACCGTCAGCTAGCCGCAATCACTATCTGCTCACGCTGATCGATGAATATTCTCGATTCCCCTTTGCATTCGCCTGCCCCGACATGTCGTCTCAAACGGTAATGAATTGCCTTTGCCAACTGTTTTCGATTTTCGGTATGCCTTCTTACATACATACCGACAGAGGCGCTGCTTTCATGTCTACCGAATTACGGGCATTTCTTCTGGAGAAAGGCGTAGCAACCAGTCGTACTACCTCATACAATCCTCAAGCCAATGGGCAGGTCGAGCGCCTCAATGGAACACTTTGGCGTGCCATCACTCTAGCATTAAGATCACGGGGCCTACCAACGGCACAATGGGAGTCTGTTCTACTCGACGCCTTGCATTCCATCAGATCTTTGCTCTGTACTGCAACGAACGCCACGCCACACGAACGACTGTTTACCTATAACCGAAGATCGACATCTGGGACAACTCTTCCTACTTGGCTCACTGTACCAGGACCAGTACTTCTCCGGCGGAGTGTTCGTCAGTCCAAATTCGATCCCCTGGTTGAAGAGGTGGAGCTATTGAATTGTAACCCGCAATTCGCTCACGTTCGCTTCGGTAATGGACGTGAAGATACAGTTGCTCTTCATCATCTGGCACCCAAAGGCGAAGATATAGATCAAGTTGAAAATTCAATACCGGAGGGCGACGCAATTCCTGAGCAACAAGTAAATGGGGATGCGACCACTGATCCTAATATTCTTCGTGAAGAAAATACAACTGAAACGAACAACGGGCGTATTCTTTTGGAAAAACAACAACGTGTACGGCCTTACAATTTGCGTACCAGAGAAGCGTGACATAATGGCTCATTCCTTTTCAAGCCGCAGTGAATGTTGTGAACTTTTCTTATAATACGTATCTAGTCATATTCATATCTCTACCGCTATTAACACTCTTTTTTTCCTTTATATGTTTAAGCCATTCCGGCTTCATTGTAAAATGAATAAAGCCTAAATTCTTGGTTCATTCGTCTTTTCAAGATTCAAGCATCACTCATCGTTCCAAGACTCAGTCACCTTCGTAACAGGAAAGAACTAGCCAAGAACCTATTGTCCAATAAATATGCCGGAGAAAGTGTAGACGGATCAGACACACGCTAAGGAGTCTGTTGAGTGACGCCGTGCGCCAGGCTATCGAGTAGAACCCGAATGGCAAACAATAAGTTGGGCGTGAGTCCGAGGATGATATGGAGACCGAGTTACGAGGATATGACAGTTTACGATCAATCGTGAAGCCAACTGAAAAGGTTTACACAGGACAGAATGAAATGAATGTGATTTTCCGTTGATGTATCTAACCGAAATCGGTCAGCTTCATTTTGGTGTTTAACGACCTCCCTAAATGGACACTTTGATATTATAAGGATTACTAGCTTGAAGTTACTTGCTGCGTGGTGGTTACCAGCAGTGGAATTTAGAACTCATATTTCATCCTATTGGGGACAAATGGAAACTGTGTTAAACCGTTTATCCTAGTTATATGGAACTTCGATAGTGTACACAATGAGTTACGATTCCGAATTCAGTCTACATAAGTATAAATAGTTAAATCGTGTGATTTACGTCTACGAAATGCATGTGACCCATTACTTGAAATGTAAATTTGTCTGTGTTTGTCTGAGTGAATTCGAATTTTATTTTGATGAATTGGTGATACTGGATGGAAAACCTTGGTCTCTGTTAGCACGTTGGTTCTTAGTAAGAAAGTGTTAATGATGTCTTAAAATAAAAACAGAATGTCGCTTGGTTTATGATGTCTATCAGTGGAATCCAGTGCATGTCACTATTTCACCAAAGGGGAAATTCGTAATAACTTAAACAAGTATCAAGTGATACTATATTTCATAAGAGGTAGGCCTCGTGGCTCTGTTCCTTAGTGGATAGCGCTCTAGCATGCGAAACAATAGGTGCTGGGTTCACCATCACCCACAAGGGATTATGTTGGGATTATTAAGTTCTAAGTAAGACGAAGTGTGGGATCTGAATTCCATTACAAACCACTACCAACCAAGTAAGTCTCTCTGTAGTTTTGGGACTGAACCCAATGACGTTAGTCTCTCCAGTAACAATTAGACCCTAATAAGGTGTAATTCAATACAAAAGGAACAAATTTTAAAGTTGGCGTTATTATGAATTATGAACCAGTCGAGAAAGGGTTTCGTATTGTCAGCATTAGTAATGTCATAGGTAGCCTAAAGCATTTCCTGCTAACACGTTATCTAAAAAGTCTTTATATTTTAAAACAAACCTATTTAAACATATCAAAAGTTTTATTCCATCTTATTCAGTCTAAAAGATCCTATTGGTTGGCACCTGACATGGTTAAGCCCTATACTCCCTGCACCAATCGATAGAATCGCTGTAACTGGTAAAGCGCCCAATCAGAATATTTTGGGTTCTGTTTCATCAAATGCATCTGGAAACTCTGCACCATTATTTCCTGTTAATCCTACGGCAAACTCGTCAAATGTAAATCCACTTGTTAATAATTCCACCAATCCTAATGCAAGCAACAACAGCAACAACAATAATACTAATAACAGACATCAGCCAGCGTCTAATTCCACAGCCAATTCAAATTTTTCAAATAATCTGTCTTCACAAAATGCGCCACAACTTAATCAGTTTCATATGTCAGCACCAAATAATCTACCATCTGTGATAAATCCCTCTTCATCGAGTGGTGGTGGTGGTGGGTGTACACTGGCAGTAGCTGTTGGCTCAACTATCACACTGTGGTATTTATATCCTCCGTCTGGGTTGATATCTGCTGTTGTTTCATATGGTGGACAATTCGGCGTGACTACGTCACCTGCTACCTATTTCTTATCTCCGCTATATCCATTTATGCCTATGCCAGATGCAAAGAATGGCAGCAACACTTATCCTCCGTTAGCTAAAATTAAAGAACCTTGGACTAGTGAAATGGTAAGTGACTGCTATTCTTGTTAACTTTAAGCGTCTATTAATCCCCTGTTGCCCCAAACCGTAGAAGTTGATTTCTCTCTGGAGTACTTGGAATAGAAGAGACATTACTGTTGCATCGCCTCACAGCCTACAGGACAACTGCTTTAGGCTAGTTTAACACAACCATGTTTCGGCAGCAGCTACCGGCATGGCCAACTTTAACCGGTACTTTTTTATGTACTCCTTTGTATTCCCATTAGAACATAGGGCTTCAAGCTAAAGCTTTGAAGTTTCGGTAGCAGTGGTTTTCTTTTTACGAGGTGGGTTCGCTAGTCTCACTCTGAACCTTCTCTCTTTGCCAGCTAAGTGAGGTTTGGTAGTGCGTCGGCTGGGGATCGAATCCTGGACCACATGAGTGGCTGGCAGGTATTCTGCCTCTGTGACACTGACGCACTTAACCAGTACTAGCGTAGATTAATCAGAATAAATTTTGTGTATTTGTAATTCAACATTTAATTGTGCATTAGTTTTCCACATCCAACTGATTCTAGCTTGTAAGTTACATGCATATAAAGGGGCTGGCAATATCTTTCACTTGCACTAAAAGAAATCATACATTCGGTGCCCTTTAATACGTTTAATCTGACTACTGATAATTTGAGTTTTATTGTTGCCTCAGACGATAATCGACACGCCTCATATCGTCATCAGCGTTTTGTTTAACTGGCTATTATACAATACTATTCCTGCCTTCTCAATGAGCTTTTATTTTATTTATTTTTTCCATGACAATTTAAGGTTGGTCAATATGATTTAAACAGGCGTGCTGTGGATTATTTAATTTTTATTGGTGCTCATCTTGTTGCACTTAGTCGACATGGTCTAGTCGGTGTTCGACATGTAATGACTAATGCATGGCAAGTAAGTTATTACTCATTTTGAAATTATTTTCAGCTTCTCATTTTGTTGATTATATTCAAGTTGAAGTGTGATGTTTCTGTTGATAAGTTCTGCTCGTGATATGGACGCTTTGATAGTTTGTTACTAGGTGGTCGGTAGATCATGTGCTGGAGTTTGAAACGATAGGCGCTGCGTTAGTCTATGTTTAAAAACGTCTAATATCTTGATGAGTTAAAGACATGAATACATGAGCAGTTGGAAACCTTGCTTTCTTGATTGTTATTTTTCGTAACAAGCAGACTACATACTGTATGATTTTTATATTTTGATATTCTCGTGGAAACTATGATGAATTTCGATCTCAAACTGTGATGTTTGCAAAAAAGTGAATTCGATCCTAAGGTGAAGCAATAGTTATTCAGCGTTTTGAATTTGAATTTATTTTTGTCTTATTCTAAAGGTTTGGAGTACTGTTCCAATATTGAGTTATGGTGTCGCTGGTTCAGAGTTACTACTCTTGGGTTGTGCAAGCGGGTGTATATGCAGTATAAGTAAGTTAAACGTGTTTTCTGCATTAGACATTATTAGTCAATAACCTGAAGTACAGTAAATTCCTCTATAGAATTTATTGTCATTGTGTTTAAGGTTAATCTACAGCTGACTGGTCCTATAGCGCCGTGCTCATGCTACACTTTCCTGCCAATTTTTCGCTCCATATTTTGATGTTTTGATCTGATATCAAGTGATTGTGTGTGTCTGGGATTTAATGGTGGAATAATTATTGACTAGTGATATGATCAGGGTTAGATTCCCAGTCGACGTACTGCCAAACCTCGCCTAGGTGGTAGTAGACTCCTCGAAAAATAGACAAGGTTGGGGACTCGAGACTAGCTACCTCCAACGCCCACTCCGTGAAAAAAACTTCACCATAGTTACTGGAACGTCGAAGTTGAGGTCTGAAGCCCTATGTTCCACTCCGAACTCATATGTTCTATTATTTTTTTTTCCTTCACGTTCCCCAGTGGAACATAGGGCTTCAAGCTATTGGCTTGAAGTTTCTGTAGCAGTGTGTATTTTACAGGATGAGGTTGCTAGCCTCATGCCTCTTTACCAGCATTATTTCTGGCTTAGCGAAGTAAAGGAGTGCGTCGGTTGGCGATCGAACCCCGGACCATGTGCATCGTCGGCGAGCGTCCTAACCGCTATGCCACCAGACGCACAGTTCTATTATTACTATTATTATTTCTGCAGAGTTTCTGACATTCGGTAGCGAAACTGCATAATTAATTGTGCTGTTTCAGACCAACTGAATATCATCGATCAATAAGTAAGAAAATTCTTGATAAATCAGCATTGTTGGCGTGTTCATTTGTTACAAATCTCGTTACAATAATCTCTGTACCGTGTACTGTTTATTTCCCATGAGATTGGTTGAAGAAGACAAAGATATAGTCAAATTATGAGGTGGGGTCGTGAAATGCCGCAAAGCGATTGTGATCTGAGTTAGTAGTTCTTGATGTATACTGATTCCCTGAAGAAAAGTTGAAGAGATTTTGCGACTTATCTTCAACCCAAACGAGCGAAACAGTTGTCTAGTGTTTAGATCGCTTCTATTTGGCTAGGAAAATCAATAATGGTTAATGTGAGTGATATCCAGCTACTCATTTTTTAATCTATCAGTAGTATATAGCCTTACGTAATACTATTGTTTGTCGTACATTTCCTTATAATCATTCTATGCTAGGTTTGGCTTTGAATGATTCACTGAAAATGACTGTTGTAAAATTTGGGGTCAATTCAGCGAAAAGACTTTAACTTGAACTAGAATACATATGTAAAGGTTAGCTTGTTTACAAAGATAAGTAAACTATTGTAAAAATAAGGCGTTTCCTGATAAAGTAAATGGATAGACTGGACGTGTACCAACAAGCCACTGGTTCAGAATTAATTGTTTAGATTACTGATCTACAACTTCTATGGTTGTAATTAGGTTGTTTCAAGCACTAGTTTATCATCTGTCAGTAATATAAAGTATATATTGATTAGTCTCTAGTAGGGTGTAGCCAGAGTCGCACGTATGATCCTTAGTGTTGGTATTGTGTGAATTCCGTCAGTCAAGTCACCGAGCTAGGCAACTAACTTGCCATCGTGGCTCACTTTCAAATGACTTCTGGCGGTTGCAGGTAATCGACAAGCGGGACCTCAACCTACTTATTAGCGTATCTGTAACCTCAAGGAAATAGATGCTCCTTCCGTAGACTCGAACTCAGTGCTGTAACCAGAGATGTTTTTATTACAAAACTATTGTCTTATTCTTAATTTTTTCTGTTTAGTTTCCAAGTGATCTGGGAATAGACAGGTGGACGTGGGTTTATATCTGTGAGACGGTATTCGTTATCTGGAAGTTGCAGATATGCCCTACTGACGGGTACAATAAACAGTGCGTTGGCCGGGGATCGAACCCCAGACCACTTGCGTGGTTGGTGAGCACTCTACTACTGTGTCACTGTCGCACATCGTCAGTCTTTAGGGATTCATTCATAGCTGGAATCTGCAGAATAATCGTTAGAAGCCAAATAGTTGTTCTGTGAAATTTTGAGACTGTCTAATAATGCTCACCCGCAACTGTAAGGAATGAAATCTGGGGTCGTCTGGTTTTGAGAGAAGGACATTTTCATACAAACACCTGTCAGTCGGAGTCCACAGTCTCCTAATAACCAATCTCTGCTTATAATTAATGTGGGGCTGTGGCTCATTAGTCTTGGTGCTTGACGTCCAACCCATGGGTCAAGAGTTCTAACTCCATTGAATCTACTGAGGTTTCGACAGCCAGGTGTTATCACAATAGATATGCCTCATTCCTAACTGTATGCAATTCCTTAAACCTAATATAGAGGTTCACTGAGCTTCAGTGTCTCACATGGATATTTGATGCCACCACTCATGTGTTCTCGATTACACCTGGTCAATTCATCTCGAAGGTATTAGTCACCGATGGGTAGTGAATTAAAATTCATCTGTTTGACTTGTGTGGTACTCATTTCTGGACAGCTTTGAATTCACTTCTTAACTTTTAAGCATTATCTTGACAATCTCATTTCAGTGGTAGTTTAAATATTTTTGAGATCTGACTTTGTCTGCCTTAATGTTTTTTGTTAATCTTTCGGCTTTCCCTACACTATGCGTGTTTTATTTTTATGATATTTGTTAGATATACAAAAATTCCCTCTACGAATAGTCGACAATGATCTCTTAGTAACAGAAATGTATCGTGATCCCCTACGTGATCCAATCACTGCACTCAGTGTACATTTATCACCGAAAACGTGTAAGTGTTCTATTTATGTTCTATCTTGTTTTATTCTGTGAATATTTTTATGTTTAAAACTTTTATTCGCATAAGATTTTACTTTATTTTGTCATTAAATATAGTTCATATCGTTCTTTTGGATGAGGTTAATTTATTCTTTGAAGCCAATAAAAGTGTTTCATTGTTTAGACCAAATATAACGGAATGACTAACAGTTAAATGTCTATTTTGGTTGATAATGACTAGCTTATAATTCGTACCCGTCAGCTGGATATACCTGCATTCCTCAGCGAGTGATAGTATTCTCATTGGCAGTCAAACCCTCGCACCCACCGTTTGTAATGCCAAATCGTTATCCAATAGACCACTTAGGCCATGAACGCCACCTCTTGTGCAGCGGGCGCCAGTTATTACTTGTTTTTAAATTCGAATTTGATTTTCCCGTTGATTGACTGTACCGATGTGTTCAGCCCCAGTTGATGATGCATACTGGGTTCCAATCTAAGTAGAAACACCATCACTCAATGGGGTTTTCAAGTACATCCTTGATCGTATTCCCTGTAGAGTCATAGATACTCACTGATGAAGGGTGTCAAACTGAGACAGAACAGCTGTCTAGTACTCTGTGGTTTTCAGTGGTTCTTTAGTTGATGCCATTTCGTGATGTAATTTGAAAATTGCTGTAAATCGGAAATGTCTACCTATACAACAGGAAGGCGTATTTCTCAAACTAAACGTGTTTCAGTGGAATCCAGATTGCGTGTTTCATCCTGTTTGAGGCTCTTCTACTGGAAGCACCTGCATTCCCCAGTGAAAGATGGTGTTCCCACTGAGACTTGGACCCAGTCGCGTAAGCATTGTCCACTGTATCACTTCCACGACGACAGCCACCTGTTGTGCAACGGGTGTCAGTTATTATTTAATTCAATTTGCACTTTCCCGTTGATTGATTAGATAGAATCGTTTGGCCTCTCGTAGCCCAAGTGGTCTAGTGGATAACGCTTTGGGGTGTGAAACGATGTGTGCTGGATTGGAGCCTCAGTGGGAACATCATTGACTGAAGGGAGTGCAGGTACATCGAATGATGAGTCCTGAATAGGACGAAATGTGCATCTTGAATTTCACTACCAGTCAACATCCACCGAATTACTTCAAGTTAAGTCTTCAGATACGATGAAAGCATCCACTCTAGGAGCCGATATGTCAACAGAGGTCCAACCAATCAATGAGGAAATCCAAATTCAACTAAATAATTAACTTATTTTAATTTTTATATCGAAAAAAGTGATATTCGGACTTCACAGTACTAGTGTTCCATAGTCGTATAAAACATCTGCTCTGTTTGTGTTGAAAATTTCGCTGATTGTTCATCTTTTGTTCGTTCGTTTGTTTGTTTGTTACTGGGTGATGAATTTATGTTTAACAGCTGCATTAAAAATGTTTTTTTATTGTTTCTTTTAAAGATGAATGGGATTATTATTATTTTTTTGGTTCAGTATGCCACCGTGTGTAAATTTTCCCTTTTAGTTACTGTTTTGTCTGGAAAAATTAATAATTTCATTCTCCAGATATCGTGACCTGCACAATGCAACTTGCTAAAATCACTTATAAACATGCACTGTTAATGATAACTAACACGACGTTGAAACGTTTGCCACTCAAAATTTCAACCTTCTCTTTGTGTAGGATCTTCAGCTTAGAAAGTAATCGATATTATATCATATGAAGTAAGATATAATCTCCTGTCTTAATATTTGCCTTCATTTCCTACGGTACATGAACAACCAGCAGGTTGATATCTAATGAAAAATGTACGTCAGTGTATGACTCTGTTGTACCAAGACGTAATTGGATGGTTGCAGTTATGAGAAATGGCGAAAAACCGGTGCTCAACACAAATGATATCAGGATGTTAATCAAAGGATGTGTGTACTGCACTTTCATTTGTCCTTCTAATACAGGCCAGACACAGCCATTCAAAGTGGAGGAGCTAAAGAGGCTAGTTGTCTTTAGCCACAGATGTTTGCATCCTGCCTCTCCTGTTGAGGGGTTTAATATAATGAATACTATTAAGGCTAGATGTACAGTTTTAGGTAAGGAGGGAAAGTCACTTGATGAGGTTGTGAATTCCATATTTGTACCAAACTACTATTTGGAATAAAGCTATTATTATTAATACATCGGTTAAGATGGGTGGGACACGTGTTGCGCATATCGAGGCGTTGCCTTCCTCAACGAGGAGTGTTAGCTCACATCGGATTACATTGGAAAGTCTGTCTGTCTGTCTTCGACATAGAACTTTGCACAAATGTGCGGAAGTTCAAGTCGCCACACTCCTTGTAGCACGCGAAGCAAGAGAAGAAAGTACAAGAAAAGCATAATAGAAACAGTGAGCAGAGGTGTGAGACAAAGGAGTAATAACGAAGAACAAAACAGTTTCATTGGAGATCATAAGTCACAAGGAGTGGATGCATCTGCGCCACTGAGAACGATTTTGAGCCATGTCACCAATTGTTTCCAACCATAGATTTTTACCGTCCCGAGGACCCCAGCCTGGAAGTCTACACCTTCCTACGTGGCTTAGACCAACTGTTGTGGATTTCATTGACTTGATGCCAAGTTTTTGTTTGACCGCCGCTAGCTTTTTTCCAGCCTGACCCTATATCCGCTAACATTGCTCGTCGAGGGAGGCGATGGCTTGGCATACGTAACACATGTCCTAACCATCTCAGTCTTTGTAGCTTCACGACTTCGTCGATTGATTTCCCCTGTTTACCTAGAACTCTACGCCTAACCTCAATGTTGCTCACCTTATTATGCCACTTTACACGGGAAATAGAACGCAGGCACCTATGATCAAAGACAGCTAGTCTTTTCATGTCTTCCACTCTCAGTGGCCAGGTCTCACAACCATAAAGGAGGACGGAGCGGACTGATGAGCAGTACACCCGCCCTTTGGTCGATAGTCGAACATCTCGTCTACGCCAGAGTCGGCGTAAACTGGCAAATGCGAAACGAGCCCCTTGTATTCGTGCTGAGATTTCGTCAGAGATCAACCCGTTGGGGCTGATGGTACTTCCCAAATAAGTGAAGCGGTCAACGTGCTCTACCACTTCACTTCCTATTTTTAAACTAGGCGTCGATGTAGTCCAGTCCTGTAACATCATCTTGCATTTGGCGGGAGCGAATCGCATGACAAACATTCGTAGATTGCTGCTCAAGGTGTTTAGAAGACTCTGCATTTTGTCAGCGTCTTCGCCTAGAAGGACTATATCGTCTGCATATTCCAAGTCAACGAGATTATTCCCTGGTAGCAAGTCAATCCCTGAGTCGCTGAAGTCACCTAGGGTTAAGTCCATTAACACATCTATGATGAAGTTGAATAGAAAAGGAGATAATGGGCATCCTTGACGGACACCACTGGTCGTCATCAGTTCAGATGACAGCTCGCCGTAAGCCCTCACCTGGCTGTATGAGTACGAGTAGAGTGCCTTAATCAGTGCAATATATTTTCTCGGAATTCCCTTTACAGCCAAGCATCTCCAGAGAACTTCTCGATCGACAGAGTCGAATGCCGCCTTTAGGTCAAGAAATATAATGACTGTTGGACGCCGGTAGGAATGCCTATGTTCTAGAATCTGTCGGAGGGTGAAGATATGATCAATACACCCTCTTCCTGGTCTAAAGCCTGCCTGGCTCTCTCGTGTTTGTGCCTCCCGAGCACCACTCAGTCTACGCATGATTATTGAGCCTAAGACTTTAGATACTATATTAGTCAAGCTAATCCCTCTGTGATTATCACAGGAAGACTTGTCTCCCTTCTTGTATATGGGGATAATCAGTGACTTACACCAACCCGATGGGACTTCTTCTGATTCCCAGACGCTGCTTAGTACCTCAGTTAATGCAGACAGTAAGCTGTCTCCACCGTACTTAAATACCTCTGGCGTCATTCCATCAGGTCCCGCTGCTTTGCCTAGTTTCAGATTGGTGACAGCTTTAGTAACCTCAGTTAGTGACGGAGGACCTGTGTCTATATCCCATTCAGGGAGGTGTTGGATGTTCGGAAGGTTGAGCGTGGCTGTGGGCAAATTAAACTGCTCCTCATAATGCTCTTTCCAACGATCCAGTCGTCTATCCTGGAGCTAATTATAGTGCCATTTTTTTCCGAGATTGTCTCACTGATGATTTGTCTTCTCCCACCCGTTTCCCTGATGAGTCTAAATAGTTGTCTGGTGTTGCCTATCCTCGAAGCTTTCTCCATCTCTTTGGCTTTTGTCACCCACCACTGTTCACGGTCCTTGCGGAGACTTTTCGTAAGTTTCCTCTTGTGCAGCTTTCGCTCCTCATTGAATTCGGAGCTCGCCGGAAAGGATTATGGTAAGTCAAAACAAGACTTTGAATGTTGGTTTAAGCCAGACACATTGGGAGGTGTAGGCTGTCTATTTTGCGGTCTTCGAGATGCTAAGAATCAATGGCTGAAGACTATTGATGATATAGCTCAAAATCGTTTGAATTGATGCAGACGCACTCACACTCATTACATCCTGGTGTTTCCTCATGTTACTGTTTTGTCTGCCGTGCATTTCTGCTTATTATAGTCCTTCTGAATCTCTTTTCCGTCGTATTTAGTCTCCTTTTTTGTGTTACACGGAGTGTTGCAACTTAAAGTGTTACACTTTTGTTGGAAATCAAGCAGTTAGATGACTAGATTGACGTTGACGTTGAATGCTGTTACTTTGCAATACAAATAAAAATCTTATTGCACTTTTACTTTTAGTTAGTTGAACCCCTAAACCTCGATTATTTAATGAAAGTTTGATAAGTAAATAATCAATAAGTTTTCCTTCACGTTCCCAGTGGAACATAGGGCTCAAGCTAGAGGCTTGAAGTTTCTGTAGCAGTATTTAATTTTACAGGATAGGGTTGCTAGCCTCATGCCCAACCTTTCCTACTTACCAGCTTTATTTCTGGCTTGGTGAGGTAAAGGAGTGAGTCTGTGGCCGGGGATCGAACCC